CACACACACACACACACACACACACACACACACACACACAAGCACCTTCTCTGCAGAGACAAATTTGATAGAAATGAAAGTTTTTTTACTCAGTTATAACATTAAAAACTGTCTGAATTGGTCAATGTTATGTATAAAATAATCCAGTATATACTGTACATTAGGTAAAAACAAACAAAACCAATAGATGTAAAGCTAATACCATAAAGYCAAGCAATTTTGCTTAGTTGCAAACAAAAATATAAAGTAAAATGCCTTTAAGCCATGCACATCATTCACAAGACTGTGTGCCATAAAAAATAATTAAACTATGAAAAAGGCTGTTTGCTTGGAGTATTAACTATGTTTATCCCAACTTTTAGCTCAATATCTGTCAAACTAACTGAATTAGTCGTTTTTTGTGTATGCTAAGGTTGTGTTAGCTGCTGTGGTCATCTTGAATTGGGTTAATTTTGAAAGTGAACGAGTTGTAGATGCACAAAAGCAAACTGACAACGGCCCACCGTTCTTGGCAATGATAAGCAAAACACAAAAGTATTTTAATTTAGTTTAATTTAGTCACTTAATGTGAATTAAAAGTATGTGTGGTCAGGTATTCCCAAATATGCAGGGACAGTTTTTGGCATACACCCCTACTTGTGGGGACTAAATGGTACTTATGGAGATCTAAGCCTAGCCTCCGTGGAGGGAAATGCCGTTAGTGGGTTGGGGGTTGTGAATTGAGTTTAGGTTAGATTTAGGGTTAGATTTAGGGGTAAGGGATTTTGGTTAGGTTATAGAAATAAATGGAATTCAATGCAAGGTCCCCATAAAGATACAGTAGCTATGCTAGACTGTATGTGTGTGTGTTTGTGTGGTAGTAAACTAATGGATCTGCTGGAGCTCAGATCCCTGTTAGACACGACCCACTTACTCAGCTCTTTTCTTATTTTAAGTTAGTTAATATAAAACTTAATCAGGATTAGCTGAAAGTTGACCTGTTGAACATTAACAACATTCACTTACAGACATGCGCCGAGGCTCTGACTGACTGAATTAAAGGGTGTTTATGTCCTCTTCCTTCCTTCTCTTCCTGGGTTGCTTTTTGCTTGTATTCAATGTTGTCTTCAGTTTTTTTTTTTCATTTGTCCTTGAGAGCTTCCCCTCTGTCTCTGTGTCCAAGTGCCCCCTGCTCTATACCGCCTCTGTCCCTCAGCGAGAGCTCTCGACTCAGAGTAACTCAGCAGATGGTTCCCTGGTGGAACGTGTTTCCTTTGCCATTCATACTTTTATTGTCCTGCGACAACCTTGAGTTACTGGAGTCATATTTTGCCTGGAGACCTTCAGTTTTATGTCCAAACAGGATGTCGTGCGTGCWGTAATTTCCCCGTGAAAGCCAAGTGTTTGGAATAAAGAGATCAACATTAATTATATAAACTGATTTGTTCAAAAAGTAATGTCTTATTTACATGTTGTTTACTTGTTATGTTGTTTGTTAACAACCAGAAAATTGTCTCAAAGACTTGAAGCACCTCTCTCTCTCTCTCTCTCTCTCTCTCTCTCTCTCTCTCTCTCTCNCTCTCTCTCTCTCTCTCTCTCTCTCTCTCTCTCTCTCTCTCTCCTTTGTCACAGATTTGTTTTCAGGAAGACTTTCATTCAGAAATGTCTTTATCGGCATTTTTTGTGTGAGAAGACGAGTCTGTTTCCTGCAGACAGGATTAATTTTAATGCACGCGCTGTCACACAGTTTGAGCACTCGCAACTTTTAATATGCTAATTCTCATCACTCTCAGGCGATTTRGGAGTGATGCACTGTGCTGCTTTGGCGCAGGGAACACATGAGGCRTTTGGAGATGCATTCAAACATTCGCAAGGATAAAAATGATCCAGTGTGTGGTTTTAAGCTGTATGTGGGCCAGAGAGCAATGTTTTCCTGACAGGAAAATCACTTCAAATAGATGCATTGTGCTTGTATTYGGAGGAAAGTACTGAAATGAGCGTTATGCGAGTGCACATCCCAAATAATCCCTGAGCCTTTCAAATATCTGTATGAGGCTTCTTAACGTGAAGTTTCAGAGGAATGGGGATAAAATGTGAGTAAAGGAAGGAGAGATATGATTCAAGGAGCAGATCTCATGCATTTCTGAAGAAAAATAAAAATGAAGAGGAAAAAAATAGGAAAATCATTTGTTTTCATTGTCTGTTTTACTTTCCCAGCTTTTTCTTTTTGTAATATTATAAAGTTCTGACTAATAATAATAATAAAAAAGTGCCTGTTTTTTCCTGTTTTGTACAGCTGCGTCGAGGGAACCATAAACTACGACAGCGACGAAGCTGCTGCCTTCTCGGTCTCTAGCCTGTCGAACCGCTCCTCTCCATTATCGTGGCGYCAGGGTCAAGCCAGCCCACGCCTGCAGGCAGGTGACGCTCCGTCCACAGGTAACGCTCCATCAGATGTCCCCCTCCGCATCAGCCACACCTCGCGTGTCCACCTAATCGAAGACTTGGATGATGCCGACCCGTCCCTTCTGAAGGGGGGTTACCTCAGCGACGGCGATCTGGGTGGGAAGAACACCAAGGACGGCTATGAAGATGACGACGACGACGATGACATTGATGATCTGGGAAATGGGTGAGCTCGTCTTTATTGCATCAGGTCTCATAACCCTCATGGTGTCGGTTTGACACCGTCACCTGCTACCCCCTCCTCCTTGTAAAGCTCTGTTTTTATCAGAAAGTTGCCCTCTGTCAGAGTCAGGGAGTATTTTCATCATTATGAAGCCCCATCGCAGAGATCATACCGTCATTCAGCTGCAAGCTTGCTATCTTTGCCATCAGGCTTCCATGTTGAACACCCCATCCTCACAATGTTCGCTCACCAGAACCTGCTGGCAGAACAGGGATGCAGTAAACTTACTAAATAAATAAATAAATCTGAAAGAAGCAGTGAGAAGTCAGTTTGAGGTTACACCAGATTAAAATGATGTTTATTTAAAAAGATGGCTGATAAAGCTTTTGCTTATATATGTGTGTGTGTTTGTTTGCCGTGTTGGCAAAATTTCTCCTGAACTGCTGATTAGATTTGAATTCAGTTCTTTGTGCATCTACAACTGAATAACTTTTAACATGATGGCAAAAAGCAGACAACTGATTTTGGAGAGCACAATGGCTGCAACTTCAGTTTTACAGACATTTAGCTAAAAATTGCTGTGGTGGTGGAAATAATTCAATCAAACTCAATTAATTTCATTTACAYAGCGCCAAGTCACAATGAACCTTTGTCTCAGTGCACTGTACGAAAACATTACAAAATGCCAATAAGTAAACAATAGTCTAAGGAAACCATCAGACTGTGATGAATCAATACTCTCATGTTGCTGGTGAATTATACTCCAGGTGCTTCACATTGAGCAAAAACTTTTCTACTAACTGATGGTATAAAACCTGTTTGTTAGCAAAAAAAAAAAAAAAAAACAGAAAAAACATGAATCACTGGATGGATATTAATGACATTGACAGAAAACAATCATTATTTGTGCATCTCCAACTTATTAACTTTTGAAGTCACCCCAAATTGTAGAAGATTGTAGCAGCCAATCAATTTTAACAAATACCAACCTGGCTATACGTTAGCATTATTGCAGAGAATTGAGTTAAAGTTTGTTGCATTAGCTGAAAGTCCCTCTCACCACACACTGCAAGCACTAATGTGTGAGATCTTGCACTATTTTAGGAGATTGCACATACAGTATTTCACCAAAATGGTCTTAGTTTAGGACTCTGTCATTAAAGTTCCTGTGACATGCRCATCCTTTACACACAAACAGTAATAGCATCTTTATTTGTTTTAAAATGTGGCATATAACACAGTTTGACCAATTTTGTCACATAGGTGGCATATTTTCATTTATATTTGGCTCAGCCAAAATAAAACAGGAAGTGATGTCAAATGGGAACTCTTTAAGAAAGGAACTCCCTGGTCTTTGTTCATTAAAACATTAGTATCTGAACTCTGACTCTTTTTCGTCTCTCTCTAGTGACCTAAAGAAACATCAGATTCTTCTCTCCAGTCTGTGTTGTTAGTTGTTTTAGCACTGCTCCATTTARTCAGACATTGTCCTTTGTCATCACCTCCTGTTGCTTCACATGCAAATATCTCAACAACTGTTCATCTCAGCTGTGTGATTTTTTTTGCAATATGTTATCGTTATCTTAAAAAATGCATTTATATGTTCCACCACTCCCCTTTAAATTAATGTTTAATCTTCAGATAATTTCAAAAATGTTTGTTTGCAAATAGTCCGTGCTCTTTGCTTTATGCTTTTGTAAGCATTTATTATGTTTCTGGAGAAGTAAAAAAAAAGGTTTATACAGAACGGTTGTTGTCTGCTGAATAACTGACTGGAGAAAAAAACAATCCCAGTCATGTTCAGTGTGACTGGTTGGCAATAACAGGACAACCTGAGGAAATTGTTCCTGAGTGAAAATAACTTGTTTGTTCCATGACAGCTGAATCACTGGGACACGTCGCATGAGTAAGAATAAGCTTGAGTGGAGCTGTTGTTTGTGCTCAAATTGGGGCTCATCGTGATTTTGTGACATCTTGCGTCCATACAAGAATAGAATAATAATAAKCAGCACAAAACAGAGGAAAATGGCTTTAGGAGCTCTGCTGCAGAAATGATTAAATTTGACACAGTCTACAACATTAAAGGGCCTTTGACATGCACATTMTTCAAATACAAAAAGTTAAAGAAAACATCTTTATAGCTTAGAAACTTGGCAYAATGCACATTTTGTACCCATTTTTTTCACATAAATRGCATATGTTTCCTTTGAACTCGGTTCAGCCAAAAGGAACCAGGAAGTGACATCGAAGGAGAACTTAAGAAAAGGAACACTGTGGTTTACTTTTACTAAAACAATTTTATYTGAACTCRTATTGCTTSTTYGTTTCTCKCTGATAGTGACTCAAAATAATCAAAAGATAGTCTGTGTTTGTAACAATACTCCATTTACATGCAGACATYCCCCTTTGACATCACTTSCTGTTACTTCAYATTTCTCAACAACTGTTCATCTCAACAGCGTGACATTTCTTTTTCAAAAAGTTATCAGTTTTGTCTTTAAAAGAATGCATTCATATTTATTACAACAAAAATATTGCACAGGCCCTTTMAGTCTTATTGATCAACTCTTAGCACTGTCAATAAAAACACATAATTTAATTTTAAACTGGGAATCTGGATGCGTGTTTCTCAGCTGTAGAGCTTGTCAAAGTGAAATCAAAAGACCCCTTTCTGACCACAAACACATCTCTAGCTTCATATCTCCATGCTRACCACAAAAATGTGCCCCAAGTCACACGAAAGTCATTTGCAGCACAGAATTCCTGTAGAGGAGGCAAAATAAAAGTAGAGAAAAACATGAAAAAAAAGACAAACAATACAAAATTAGATCCACAACTAATTTAGTAGGCACGGTAAACATGGCGTCGGCACAGTGTGATGCAAATTGTTTGCTTTGTGCATCACTTTTCAATGAAGTTTTCACCACTAGAGGGCATAATAGTGCTTCCATTCCCWTTTATTTCTACAGTTCCTCCCTTTATCCTGTTGAGCGGATTCCTGCTGAGTCCTCGCCCCTTAACGCATAATTTATAACACATCCCGCTTCATTATGCATTCAGAAACCACCAGTGTCACCCACAGGTCACAGKGCACTTCTAAATTCCATTCCAGCAAACGTATATATTACCCAGGGCTTCCCTTTTGTACACATTCCCCTTCAAACACTAACATTCTTTGTCTCAGCTCTTTGTTCTGTCAAAGAGAAAGGACGAGAAAAATGTTAGATGTTTGACCATGACAGGTTTTAATTTGGGAGATTTATGCATTGTTTCTACTCATTGTGACTCACTTACGGTAAAGGCTGTGACTCAGCTCCGACTCTTAAGGTGAGTTTACCGTGATGATACTGTGACCTGGCTGCCTGTAGACTCACACACAGACTGAGTCATAATCCCTTCTGTCAGATATCTATTTCCTGTGCTTTTCTTACCGGGGCCTCTGCTTGTCTGCTGAATTCCACCTCCATCTGGATCCAGAAAGCTCCCATGGTCACTCCACCGTCTCACACACACACACACACACACACACACACACACACACACACAAACAC